AAAAAAAAAAAAAAAAAAAAAAAAAAAAAAAAAAAAAAAAAATAACGAGAAATTGATATACACGAGACGAGTACAACATGGCGGCTACCTAACGCCACTTTGTGTTTCAAGTTGGATATCGCATGTATGTACACGCACAAAATCAATGCAGTGTTTGCAAAGGCTCTTATTCAGGAGCGTGACTTACATAATACATTCCTACAGTGGCAACGTTTCCTACAGAGATATAATTCATAAAATACGGAGACTGACAGAATCGATTTATTTACGTTAATTCATTTCTTTCTTTATCAAATTAATCTTATCTTTTTATACGTACATTTTCTTCACATTTCTCATACATACACATATGCATAAATGCTAATTTTATATTCGTTTACGATATTCTGAATTTTTCTCTCTTTTTTTTTTTTTTCCAATCTCTTTTTATTTATAATCAAATTTAATTATCATTTATATTATAGTAAATTTTATAATATATGCAATTGAATCGTAAATTGAAGTAATTAGCAAAATATTTAATTAAATTGTTACTCTGGCTATTAACAGGAGGAATCGATTAAATGGTCGTATCGCGTTTTATTTGCAATTGTAACGCACGAGCCGTGTATATTAATTAAATTTGATTTTGACCCGTTTCATTATTACGATTAACAATATGATCTATCTTCTAAATCGTGACGTCTAATCGATAGAACGTTGGATGAAAAAAAATTCTGATTCTATTAATGTAATGCGCGGGATTACCAAACGGGGATATTTTCAAGAATTTTTATTCAAGAATAAAAATTCCCAATCGTTTTTTTTTTTTTTTCTCTGTATTCAATCAATAGTCGATTTTCCGCAAATTTTCCAACTCGATTTTATGACGAACAAGTACATTACAATCGTGTACAATTCCGTGAAACGAATATTCATTGATATTAAATTTATAATAATTTTTAACATTTATTTAATATTAATTCTTATGAGTATTTAAAATAAAATTAAAAATTTTCTATCTTTACCCGAATTATATTATTACATAATTTAATATTTTATGAATATTCTTTTCTACATAACATAAGTGGAAATTTATTAAGAGGTAACAACATAAACTGATATCGATCTACGGTAATCTATAAAAAGATCGAATTGTAACACTTGTTCAAATTTTCATTTCAACATTTCAATTCAAAAGCACAGTTTCTTTCATCACAACACATAAATTCACTAACACTTGGAATAAATTTGACTTTAAGTTGTATCCACATTGATGAAAAAAAACGATAGAACAGTACATCATCAATCAATCAAGTATCGATCTCTAGTTTTTGACGTGCACACCATTTCGAAACGATCCGAAATTTCCACCCACACAGAATGACGTTATTATTATTATAGGTTTGTCCTATCCCAGATACAGTTAATTAATTAAACTCTCGTACAACGAGAGACGGTCGGGCGTCTCTTGCCAAGTAAATTCGTCAGATTGTCCAAATAAAACATAAATTCTGCCCGGTCTCAATCGCCATCTACCGAGCATTACGTGTACCACCAGATTTATGCGAATTCGGTCCGGTATGTGCTCTCACCATGGATATATTAGAACGCTGTCACGTAGAAATGGAATCGAGTCGTGGAGTGTTTGTGAACTGGAACTGACCCGAAAGCTTGATTCGATGAATCGAATGTGGACAGAAATGGGACGGGACCGTAATTCTGATCGATTATCGTCGCTCGTACGCCCAATCGAAAAATACGATTTTCCGATCGAACATGTGTTTTTCGATGTTTCGTATGGAGGCATAAAAAGAGATTGATTATATTTCGTGCGGGGGAAGAGGAGGGGGAGGGGGGATAATATTTATTCGTAACATAAATAATTCATCGGGCGATGTTTTTTTTCTCTCTCTCTCTCTCTCTCTCTCTCTCTTTCGACCAACATGATTTTTCTACCGATGAAAAAACAGAAGTCGATAAAAGGTTTCGTGATGCTCGTAACGTTTCGAACGTAGCACGTATGGACGCCATTCGAGTCAGGTTTATTCCCATCTCTAGTAATACGGTGTTGGTACGTTGTTGCTGCAGCATGGTTCGCATGGTTGCCGAGGATCTCGGGGTTAGGGAGGAATCGGGGACGACAGGGGTGGACCAGGGGTGCCAAATGGAAGCTATAGCGGAGCATAGAGCTACTCTGTATGGGTAAGTGGAGAGAGCCAGTGTTATTGGTTTTTGTTGCGCATGCCTACTGCCGGCGCCAATCTGGCGAATTATTAGCCAAGTTTAACTGGCCAGAGGTGAGATAGATTATGACAGAAGTTGGTAATTTAATGGCCTCACTCCTCTCTCGCGTATTAATCGATTAATATTTCTCTCTTTTTTTTTTTTTCTTTTTCTTTTCGATCTAATCAAAATTATTGATTTTAAAAATCAATTCAATTCTTCCTCTTGTGTAATTCGTTTCTTTTTTTTTTTTTTTTTTTTTTTTGATTTTTAGTCACCGAAATTTATCGGATATTTTATTAGCACGATCGTTGATCGGTTTTTATTCGAGACACCGGAAAATTATGAGTGTTCTTTTTTCAAAAATAATATGAATAAATGAAATAATATTGAAAATATATGTATTTGAGACCTTTTCAGGTAGAATACATTTTGTTATAAATTGTTGAATTTTTATGAATACGTAATACATAATATAATATATTTGAAAATATAAATTTTTCCGTTTACACACAGTTTTCTTTGATTAAATATTTTATTATATTTATTATTTATTATATTTCTCAATGGAAATTTTAATATTTATGATACTAATAAATATAATAATAATATATAGAAAAGAAGAGAAGAATACAAAGTAGTAAAAATTTTGTTTCCTTCGAAGTTTTCAATTACTTTTATTGAATTCTTTTTTATTTTTCATTTTCTGCTGCCTTCTGACGAGATATGAGAAAAATTGACGAATAAGCAATCGATCATCGATTCTTAGGTCTTACATACCATTTTATTGCTTTCTGTCTACTCCCTCGATGGCACAAAACGAATTTTGATGTGTAATCACGAGAAACGATCCGAGAGTTCGTAAAAAGGAACATAAGAGATTTATGAACTTAAGATTTCTGTTCTTATTCGGCCATACTCTTTTATTCAAGAAAAGAAGAAAAAAGAAAGAAGAACAATTTTAACAATCTTTTTAACAATCACCATGAAAAAAAAAAAAAGAAATTACGTTATATTTTTTATCGCGCATGATGTTCCGTTCTTTTTTGTTTTCTTTTCGAATCGAGCGCCACCCTACTCGAGATCCTGAAAAGCCAATTTCGCCGATAAGCGGACAGCTGCAACTCCCCGCGCGGTGATCCCGCTTAAACGAAATTAGTCCGCGGTCGCGATGTGCATAAGGTTGTAACCGCTACTAAAAAAGTGAACGAACCCATAGCTAAAGAATGTGGACGAAAATAAAAGTTTCGATCGTATTTTTTCGTGATACTGAAAGGGACAAGTGTACAGTCTACAGTGTATTGGGCTTGCATTAGTGAAGGGAGATGGCGCTAATATCGACGGCTATGACGATAATGGCGGGAAAGGAATCGGTCCTTCGAGCGACATTAACCTTTGAATTGCTACAGGTAGTAGTTGAGACGTATGTAACTGTACATGTGGCTAACCGAATGAACTCGACAGGTTGAAATTCGTTTGTATTTGCGCTCATGCCATTTCGTTGGGCGCTTGTATGTGTCCAGCGGCAGATGCTTAAGGCCCGTTCACACGATCGTGATCAATGTATGGGTATTTACCTGCTCACTATCACGACTTTATGGTAGATACGTTCATGTGGGATTTGTGGGTTGTGGGCAGTGCCGCGGCAACGCTTTCGTTCTTAGTTTACTTAGGCGAATACAGAGTACCCTTATGAACGCTACAATACCAACCGAGTAAAAAGGAGTTACTTTCGTCGAGTTTCCTTTTTATTTCCATCCCAACCAACCTGCCGCGAATCGCTTTTTTCTCGGCCCCTTCTTGTCACGGTTCGTGTGCAATTTGTGCAATTCATGCCACCCTCTTGTTACAAATCAATTAA